CGCTTCAAGTAATTGGAGAATGTGTACTGCAAAGGACAGAAGACCACTGTTAATGTAGAAGGAGGCCAACGCATTCCACAAAAGGAATTATTAACACAACAGTGTTCTCCTTACTTCATTTTTACTTTCTTAACGTACTATGTACTTATGTAATAAAAAGAAAGTATTCGAATACTTTGGCAGAAATCGGCGATTTTTCGACAGAAAACTCGTATTGTTGAGTCCTGGTAACGAAATAATTGCTAAATCTTCTTCCTATATGTAGTAAATTACTTTAAAACTATTACTATTACTAAAATACTTTAACACGTGTTGCCAGAATTCACGTTTTGTGGGCCCTTGAAAAATCGATTGAGGGCGAAACATCCGTTCGTCCATCTGTGGTAGCGCCTAAACCGTTCAGACGATTTTCTCTAACATTGATATCCTCCATTCAATCTGAACAAACACGAGGCCCTGCAGTGCGGAAAGGATATTTTGATTTTTAGGAGTACTTTACATTAATCCTGATTTACGTTTTCAAAAGTTTCACAAAAATTGTTCCACATTTTTTGATTCAACTTTGTCCCCGAATAGTGCAAAGGACGCTTAAAAGTGTCGGAGGCTCGAGTTTCGTTTAAATTCCCTGATTTTTCGAAAATTGCAAAACTTCCAAACTTTTCCAGTTCCTTCTTACAACTACACTATTGAATATAAATAGTTTTTCCTTAGTAAAGTATACTGTTTAAAAACTGTTCTTGAATTCCGATTATGTACAATTTTTCGAAAATATCAGTAGGATTCGTGTAATTTTGCGTGAATTATAGGCACTTTTTGAACAATTATATACTCAAAGACGGCTCCATTTAAAAAAATGATTCCCCTGTATGTTGCCAATAATAGTAAAGAATAATGCTAGTCCCATTTTTGGTGAACTCTCTGCATTTTTGAAAACGGCAAAAACAACATTGCAAAAGCATTACTGCCAATTTTGATGACAGATTTTGTATTAAAAAGAATAATAATAAAATAAAATAAATCTCTAAAAAGGATCATATACAATTTTTTGAAAGGGTGAGTGTTTATGTTTGAAGTTCATGCAATTTGTAATTATTTCTCAACAACAGCTTCAAATTATGTCTTTAATTGTTTTCCTGGGATAGAGCTAAGGTCGCTTACAAAAATAGTGCACGTCTTATTTTCGTTGAATTCTGTGAATTCATCTATTATCTAAATTAGCACACCTTTAAAAAAGGTAATGTACACTTTTTCGAAAAATGAAGTTTTTGCGTTAATTCTACTTCAAGTGAATTCAATTTATAAAACACGTTTTCTCCTACACGGGTGTTAATTTTTTCTTTGATTCTTTTCCACAGATATTTTTAAGAGGAAAGACTCATAAAAAAGGCGCAGCCTTAATTTTCGACGAACTTTGAATTTTCGAAAGTTGCATAGGGAAATAATATCTAATGTGAGATACCATTAGTTTTTAAGAGTTGGCAAATACGATTGCGGCCTAACTATTGGAGATGAAGCGGTAAAGCCAATACCTCCTATTACTACTTCTCTACTCTATTACTTCTATTACTAATACAAGGTGTTGGTAAAACCCAGAGGGAGTTAATTCGAACCACATGGGGTTCGAGTCTCGGTGCGGAGAAAAAACTTTTGTTGGTTGGATACACTTTAGCAGATTCAGGTCGAAGTAAAACTTTGCGGGACCGTTAGAAATACGAGAGCGTATGAGCTGTTGTAACAATACTGTTTTCTTAAATATGTATAATTACTCTTTGTTAATATTATTTTTCGATTTTTGATAATAGTTTATTTACCAAGGGCGTTATAAGTGTTCTAATGACCGAGCGGTGACAAAAAGTCCTCGTGCCAAGGATCCTCGGGCTTGACGCCGTTCGATCATTAGAACCAGTTTGTGCCAGTGGCACATACAAGTTTTTTTTACATAATTGTATTGATTTAGAATTACTAATTTACTTGTTAACTTGGCTCGGTTAGTCTTTTCATATTTCCATCCCAACATTCCCTTTCATAATTACCTCTCATAATTTTCTCTATCATTTAACTGTTTTCATATTTCTCTCAGAACCACGATCTCTCGATGCAAGTAAGTTATGTATCGAATGTAGAGCTCAGTATCAGAGGTATTAACAAGCAATAACGCATAAGTAAAAATAAATAAATAATTTTTTATATTCAATTTTATATTTTTATATTTCAACTATTTTCATATTTTTCTCGTAACCACGATCCTCTCATTCCAGGTATGTTAGGCAGTGTATATCGAGTTTCGTATCGAAGAAAAGGTGTTACCTTGCTTGATGGTTATTGGAGCTCGATATACGTTGCATAACTTATCTGGATCGAGAGGATCGTGTTTACGACGGAAATATGAAATCAGTTGAATGATGCCACATATTCTCGTATGGAGGGAATTATGAAAAGGAATTGTGGGAGAGAAATAAGAATAGGCAACGTGAGTCAGGTTAACATTTAGATAATTAGTATCTCGGTATTAGTATTATTATGACCTCGGGCAACAATGAGCCCTCTGGCCAAAGGCACTCTGGCTTTTTTCACCACTCGATCATTATATATATCTTATAACGCTTTACCGCTACCTTATAACCCTTATAACGCCCTTGGTGCATACTTAATGATTTTAAGTGAATAATTAATCCACATTGCGCAATGGAAGTGGCAATTGACCTGATACCATGAATTTAATTATTAACATGGCTCTTATATGATGAGCGTTTTTCATACTTAGATTTTATAAGTTTCATTCTCATAACGAAATGATTTGCCAGTGATTTTTAACAAATTCTTTAATTAAATTATATATTCCTTCCTACGTTGTGAGTCACCACCTGCACCTGTAATAGTATATAAAGCAAACAGCCTGTATCTGCATGCATATTTACATGTTTTACATATGGGAGCGTAGGCTTCCGTAGCCAGAGTAATTGACTACTTGGCCGGGAGACCACCTTCCTTCCTCGCATTTCGTCCAGTGGAAGGTCCAAGAATGACAACCAAGTGGTTACTGCTCTGAAGTGGAGGTCTAATGTGTTCTGTCATATATGTTTTGTAACTACAATAAAAAAGTGCATTTTTTCGTGCGAAACTGTAAAGGTACGATCTTCCGTACACTTTTTCGGAAGGTGTTTTAATCTCGTCAACCTTTTTTCTGTGAAAGGAAAAATATCTTGAGATCTATTTCTTCATCTCTTATAACATACTACCCAAAATTTCTGACCGGGAGGTCTAAGGGTTCGACTCTCGGCGGGCGGATTTTCGACACTAGTTAATTAGCTAGGTCGAATTCAGTGTTCTGTCTGGAGGAGAATTCTCGCAGCCGGCTGCGTTCCCCGTTGTTTCTGCGATCAAGACCAGGCAGATATCAGAGCTGTGCCCTAACAAACGGATAACAGACTGCTTTCAAACTTTGTTTCTTCATCCTTGTTCCTTCCCTGTCTCTTGTTCTCCCGTTACACACACAGGCACTACACTCCCACACATATCGGAAGACAACTCGGGAGATTAGAGATTGTCCCGGCTGAGACGGTGTTCTGATGGTGGAGATACCTGGAAAGGGAAACTTGCGCTAGCCTGCGTGTAGGTTGGCGTCAAATGCCATGTTCTAGCGAAGGAGAAACATTGCCACCTCTCTAGAGATGAAACATGCAAAATACGAGACTTATGATCTTTGCAATTCACATGCCCGGAAATACAAAATAATTAATTATTACCCAAAATTAATTAAAAACGGCGGGGGAAATTTCAGGATGTTTCCTTGCAAGAACGTTACTGGCGGCGAATATGGAAGTAAATACAAATTCGTAGCGTTGGCTGGATAGGTGGAGGTATATTCGAAAATGTGCAATAGTACACGGAGAGAAATGTTTAGTTCAGACGATTAATCATGTAGTAGATTCAAGTAAACGGTATAGTACGTTTTGGAAGAACAAAGTGCACAGTCACGTTCATGAAAATGCTGTTTAGTTAAGCACACTATTTCACATATAGTTATGTTCACTAAACAGGTCGTACCCGTGACGAATGGTATCTTAAGAAGATTACTAAATTAATCATTGCATTGAATAATATATATTGAGTAATATTTACTAAACACATTGCAGTGAAAATAACTAAAAGAAACGTGAAGGGCAATTATTTTCTATTCCTTCAGGCAGGTATCAAGTGGGGCTCCGGAGTGGTCACCCATCTTACGGCCCCGTGAAATCGTACTTCCTTGACCTCGAATACCTGATAGATCCTAGCCAAGCAGAACAGTTACGAAGGCGGGCTGTAGAATTTTGTCTACCGACGGTATTTCTACCATTATTTTAGAGTACAACATACTAATAATTTAAAATCAATAAAATACCATATACGCTAGTTATATAGCGTATGCTTATATTCAAAGCGTTGAATACACTTCACGTGGGCTCTATAACCTTTCGAATTGGTCAGATGGCAGAGAACGCGCGCTTACTATACATTGTTTAGTAGTGTGACGACCTGAAACGTACGTCTCACCGAATGATGCTATTACGAAACAGGAATAGTACTTCTGACAAATCTCTTTGTTCATTCACTAACGATTTTCAATTGTCTGATTTACTGAACGAAACTAAATAATGTTTTGTGAATCTTACTATAGGAATAATTTTTTTACTACATGATCGCTTACTAAACATGTTTAGAACATGCTTCTACAACATTTCTCTCAGTGTACAGGTCACGGGGATGTGCAATGGACAGGTTTCCAGAGCGTTCGAATTAGACAACACCGTGAAAGTTAGTTTTTTGAAGGAATAGTAATTTCGTCCATCTAGTAAGCTTGTTATTAAAGACATGTTTAAACGAAGCAAATTATAGGCTTGTTTTGGATTGGCATTTCGTCGGGAACTGTGAGTGACTGTGAGCAACTAAGGAGCGTGGTGGCGGGCGCGTGCGGGCGAGGGACAGGGCCTGTGCGAGGCGGCGGGCGCCGCTCCTACCTGGCAGCGGGCGATTAGTAACGGGAAGGCGGTCAGCATGTCCCCGACGCCGTGCGCCGCCCACGTGGTGAGGGCGGGGGTGAGGAACATGTGCAGGTGGTGCTTCCGGAGATGGGTCACGTGTTTCGTCTCCTCGGCCAAATCCTCGATGAGCGGTTGCGCTGCCGGCAGGATAAGGCATACTTTACTCACTCTGCTCCCCGCGCCGCGCC